TACTACAAGCATAGTTGCCTTTTACGGCAAGCATGGGATGCTGAAGACCTATTCTACCCCGGATCTTCACCGGTACATAGACGACTGGGCCACCCCTGCCTCAAGAATTATAGTTTAATATCGAACATGGGCAATAGGTGGTATTCCCTTAAGGTTGAGTAAAATTCCCTCCCTGCAAAAACCTTGCGGTGCACGTGCATGTATATAGAAGTCTCCAATTCTTTAACTGTCTGGGGTGAATGAGTGAGTTTAACGCCTCTTTTAACAGTATTACAGTTATATCGCGGCGTGTCATCTTAATGTGGGAGGAAAGCCCGAATTGATACAGTTCTCAGGCGTTTACCACTTCGGTGAAACCCACGAGCACGGGTATGGTGCTGACAAACCTAGCAACATAATCGGGGCGAACCGGGATTCGAACCCAAAATCATAAGTTTCTGGCGTGCCCAAGGGACGCAACTCTGCACAGCGAATCGCGGCGCCTTAGACGACTGGGCCACCCGTGGCCCCTGTAACTGTCTGGATGTCTCCTTGTCGAAGCCGAGTACCAACCCTGGACGCAGGAACCGTGTAATTCACCAGCTTCTCTTTTATTCCCATAAAATGTAATTTAGACAATGAAACAATTGAACGGCAAGCATTTGATCCCTGATATTATTTAGATCTTAATGCATTCAGAATACACGTGTTGACCCATTCTGTTGAAACCGATCCCAAAGCCTTGTGATGGTGCTTGGCGCTCCATTGAAAATCTACAGCTGATTGGGATTCCCCTGGCATGTTGTTGAACTGTCACTGTTCGATTGACGCAGACGCCAGGCAATCAAAAACCCTGCACTTTAATACTGTTCATAGTGCTGCACGTACTGCCTGTGCAGCTCCATGGCCCTTTTGTTAATGCACTGGGTGCGTTTTTCCGAATCGTACGTGTTTCCCGACTAATGGTTTACATGTCCTTGTTGTGTCACTGACACTACAACACATTAAACCTTCATTTTTCACTTCTTGGTCTGCTTATTTTGCTTTTATGGCCAAAAATATCCGTATTGCATTTCATTTTTTAAAGAGTATATGTAAAGAGAATGAAGTTATTTGTTAGAAGATTTGGAAAATATCTGTCGACGTCTATTTGACGGTATCCATGCTTTGCAAATCCTGCAGTCGACCGAAATATGGACGTTGAAAATCCATGTTGTTTACGAACCGGATGTTTAGGTCGTTACGCGGTTTTGATTGGACGATGCATGGACTCGTTTGTCCAGCCAACATGTAACTCCGGAATTCCAGCCCAGTTCGGCAAGGGTGGAAACTGGACTTTAAGTCAGTCAATGCCCTTGCTTCGGAAAGATTGTAAACTATGTAATAAAAATTAATAACATAAGATAAAATTATATTTCACTGTAGCTTTATTATGAGGTAGAATTCATCTTATTTTAATGCATGTAAATAAAACGTTTTCGAACTACGACACGACGAAAGATGAAACATTTAACGAAGATATTCATAATTTAGACATTATCCATTTGTGTTTCAGGTCTGATGTCATTGCCCGTGCGATGAAGCGGTCAGGCAAGGGTAGTGAGAAGTGTGCGGACTTCGGCGATAAGTGTGGGTACTGGACTACCCAGTGTTGTGAAAACAAGGGTCTGGAGTGCCAGTACGACAACGATGACTGGTTCAGCAAAGGAACATGCTGGATGAAATTCTAGACATCGAGTCATCCCGCACAAAACGACTTGCTGATCTGAGTTCACATCACGTGACGTCGTGATGTTGACGTTATGCGGCATTACGTGATTTTCTAAAGTAATTTCTGTGTCTGCGACCACGCCCCTGTTTACGTAAAGAAAACTGATCACATGGTCAATCGAATTAGATGCTTGTAAGCGGATAGTCCAAAATACGGACGAAAGTGACCGCGTTCATGTTAACGTCACCAGAGTACGATTTAAAGATGATCAGACTGAATCATTGGACACAATTCAAGTCACAATTAAGTTTCACTGTCTAAACAAATAAATTCGTGAACATATTTTCAAGTCTCATTGTCTTTTCCTCGCGTCATCGTAATTTAGTCTCAGTGTTTTGTTTAATCGAGCCTGAAGCATATAAACCAATGCTTGATAGAGTGAACATCAGCTCACGTAGGTAGGGGATGATGACGCACTACTCTGGCCAGGAACATCACAAGTAATACCTGTAACTGATGATCACTGGTACGTTTATATTTGTATATCAACAGAGGGTCACTGGTACGTTTATATGTGTATATTAACAGAGGGACACTTGTACGTTTCTGTTTGTTGATCAACAGATGGTCACTGGTACGTTTCTGTTTGTTGATCAACAGATGGTCACTGGTACGTTTATATGTGTTGGCCAATAGAGGGTCACTGGTACGTTAATATGTGTTGATCAACAGATGGTCACTCGTACGTTTTTGTTTGTTGATCAACAGATGGTCACTGGTACGTTTCTGTTTGTTGATCAACAGATGGTCACTGGTACGTTTATATGTGTTGGCCAATAGAGGGTCACTGGTACGTTTCTGTTTGTTGATCAACAGATGGTCACTGGTACGTTTATATGTGTTAGCCAATAGAGGGTCACTGGTACGTTTACATGTGTTAGCCAATAGAGGGTCACTGGTACGTTTATATGTGTTAGCCAATAGAGGGTCACTGGTACGTTTATATGTGTTAGCCAATAGAGGGTCACTGGTACGTTTATATGTGTTGGCCAATAGAGGGTCACTGGTACGTTTATATGTGTTGATCAACAGATGGTCACTGGTACGTTTATATGTGTTGGCCACTAGAGGGTCACTGGTACGTTTATATGTGTTGATCAACAGATGGTCACTGGTACGTTTATATGTGTTGATCAACAGATGGTCACTGGTACGTTTCTGTTGGTTGATCATGGGAAAGAACTACAGATTCGCCCTGGTTGTGAATAATGCTGTCAGGACCATCTCCGACCTTCCCCAACGTTGTAGTCGTCCATTATCTGCCTCAGTGTGTCCCTGCCACATGAGGTGACACGCCACGTTACAGTTAAATACTGGCGGCCAAACCAAACTCACTCATGTGTCATATTCGTCCATGCTTTGGTGGACACGTAAAAAAGGCATATACTAATCGTATAGCTCCCGATACCGTATCTCCTAATCCGTCATCGATTACATTTTTCATCGAAAGTAAACTTAGAATAACAAGTCAGAATGAAACCAAAAACCTGTAGATGTTTCGTGCTAACCGCCATCGTCTTTTCCAAAATCGTAATGTGCAGTTTTTGATATGGAATCATTATTCAAAGTTCACTTTCAATGAAAGAAAGTCAACATATTTGGAGATAAGTGATAATGAAGAAGTTAGTATATTGGCTGTATCTTATAGCCCACATTGACCGACCTTTGTAACGAGTCGATCGGTTGCTCCCTGTAGTAACATAGAGAGTGAGTGAGTGAGTGAGTGAGTTTTACGCCGCTTTTAGCAATATTCCAGCAATATCACGGCGGGGGACACCAGAAATGGGCTTCACACATTGTACCCATGTCGGGAATCGAACCTGGGTCTTCGGCGTGACGAGCGAACGCTTTAACCACTAGGCTACCCGACCGCCCCAGTAACATAGAGAACCGTTGACAATGAATGATAAGCGAATCAGGGGTTAACCGCAATTGACTAAAAGCAATGCACACCTTTAATAAACGTGACATCACTAGGACAGGTGCATTGCACACCAGGAACAAAGGTAAACCTTTGTGGGCGCGAACAGGTGGATGACGTCATCAAAGTCCGCTTCAACTCCATTTTGATTGAACAATAAAGCATCATACATGTGGAGAATGAGCGGGCCGGGCATGGCGGACACAGTTATGTCCCTTAACTTCCAGAAACCAACCCAAAATAAGGTTGCACTTCAAAAGTTCGTTTTAAGATAAAAACTTGGTTCCTTAAGATTTGTTACCACCACCAGAAAAATCAACTGTTACAACAAACGGAGAAGAAAACAAACATAATTGTGAACATACTGACTCCCTTAAATATATCTTTTGAAAGAAAAAACCCAGGCAAATCATAGTAAATGTTTGTGAGGATTTAACTGGAACGATGTTTCTTGTATTTTATTTCACTTTACCAACGATATAGTTTTTGTTGATTCCCAATAAATAAATAAATAAATAAATAAATAAATAAATAAATAAATAAATAAATAAATAAATAAATAAATAAATAAATAAATAAATAAATAAATAAATAAATAAATAAATAAATAAATAAATAAATAAATAAATAAATAAATATTGTTGGGACAGTAAATTATCCCAAAAGAAAAAAACAGTGTCATAAGATTTCTATAAGTATTTGAACCTTCAACTGATCCTTAAAACCATTGATTTGCCACCACAACAATTTGCTCTTGGGTTTCACCAAAGATGAAACGCGCTTGTTCAATGTACATAATTTCGGGTCTTCCTTTCACATTGAAAATACGTTACATGAAATTGTCCTCAAACCTAGTGTCACTCACTCACGTACAATTAACAGCTGGGTGAGTGAGTGACTAGGTTTTACTCCAGCAAGAATCACGGGGACATCGAACCACGATTCTTCTCTTTTTGCTAAATCACAGTTTAGTTTGCAATGAGCTGTAGTGGAAACACACTGTTCAAACCAAATCATATCTCGCAAGATTTTATACCAAAACAATGTTTAACTTAAAATCAAACTGTCAGATGGTAACCGGAGAAACTTTAAATTGTACGTTATTTTAAATTGTCAATCTTTTAAATATATCCTGCTTGCCTTGGCAACAATGAGACAAGTTCTCAACATGATACCCATAAAATCTATTCTTCGATCAGCTTCTTCCCATAATGCTGTATTGAATTAAACAATTAATATTCAGTTCACACGATTCAAGATGCCAACAAGAACGCGGCCATGAACCAATCTTAGCCTTCATTTATGGTCATCTGCGATATAAGTATGTCATCACAGTTGCCTGGTGCTCTCCGCATCCCCCTCCTCTATGACCCCCTCCCCCTTTACCCCCTGTTCCCTGACCCCCTTGCTTCCTGTCGGTGGGTAGTAGTCCGACAGCTTGATGTCGCCAAGGATGTGTTTCATGCCCTTTTTTATTTTCACTTTTTTCGACTCATCCTCTTTCCGAATGCCCAACTGTAGGTTTTGTGGTGGTTTATACCCTGGGTGTTTGTATAGAGGGAAATAAGAAAAATAAGGCCGCTTGTTCGAGTTCTCCAACGCCCAAGGGTCTCTCTTCATTTTCTTTATCCTTGCGTCAGCAAGTGCCAACATGTAAGCCTGTTTGTGGACGTTTGGGTCGACTTTTGGTAAGGCAGGATTATGTTTATTCCTCTGTTTCGTTTTCATAGTTATTTCCAATTTCTCCCTGTAACTTAGCGTCTTAACATCTGTGTCGTGCTTAAGAATTCCGCCCTGGTCCTTTTTATTCTCCTTCACAAAAGTGTTCTGTTCGCTGAATCGGACTTTGTGGTCGCCATCCTTCCGCTTGCTGGAACACTCTCGCCTGTTGTGGGAAGTACTGGATAGATCTGTGGCTGTTTTATCTGGTGATGGTAAAGGCGTGTTGGTCCTATGTCGATCGAGACGACCATGGGCATGCTTCCGTCTAACAGGTTTGCCACACTGGGGGCACAGTCCCATTTTAGACACACACCATTTTTCATGTCCTCCCGTCTGGAAACACTCCTTACACCTTAGCAACGCAGTATCAACATCGGGACACTCGCACCAATTAGCTGAATTTATCCTTAAAAACAGAAACGAGTCCGGAGTCGTCAGAGTGGTCTCCCTTGATATGGAAAGTGGTCCTGGTGGGGAGAGGCTGAATGTTCCTCTGCGATGAAACTCAAACGAAAGATCTCTGGAGTTAGAATTTTCTCGTATATTTTCTTTGAATGGACTGGACTGACCTGCATATTTGGCCCAGTCGTCTTTCTTCCCGTGTTTGTATTTGATGGTTCCCCCAGTCATTTGGTCTTCCTCTCCCCAGAGTTCGATACCAGAAGGATGTGTGAATGCTTCTTTGGGTTTCTTTTTCCTTCTTTCATCCCCATTTCTACTTTTTGTATCACTTCCTCGTCTATCGTAATGGTTACCATCTCCTAAGGTATACGAACCGTTTCGATTCAACACTCCGCTGCCATCTTGGGACAATGACCTTGACCTACCACCAAGTTCACCATTCCGACCAATCATCGATCTCTTCTCATTTGTCAAGGACGGAAGGCTCAGTCTCCCCTCCGCTGCCCTCTTCCTTTCTTTGGACACCGGAGGATTTGTAGTGAGGAACGTATTTTCGCTGACAAGAGGAAGAAACCTTCCATCTTCTCCATGTATCTGTTTATCTTTTTCGAACATCGGAGGAAGCTGAAACCTGTTCTTGTTTCCTCTAGGCAACGTATCCTTGTTGAGGACGGCCGTATCAAAGAACCTCCCGTCTTCGGACGCGGGTGTGTTTGGAGGGGAGAAAGCCAACATTGTGGGGTGGGGGGCCGGAGGCGAGTGCTCACAACGCTGGAGGTACCCCTTTCCAAACAGGTACCTGTAGGGATTACCCATATATCGGCCATCGGGACCCAGTCGACTGCATACATAGCAAAAGCTGTGAGGTATATGCTTGCGATGAACCTGAAAGAGAATTTAATAAATGCAAACGTTCTTTCGATTTCATTTAATCTCTTTCAACAGTAAAAATGCAGTATAACCCGTCCAGAGATAATTTTTATTTTGACCAGGATATCCACCGATTTCAATACCAACTGTTGTCAAAAATAAATTATTGTAAATAAAGCATGGAAACAGCAATCCTTCGGACTTCATCGTCCAATTGACTCATTGAGGCCATGCCCTTGTTACTTATAGCCATGGATACAAGTGAGGTGAAATGGGTTTAACGTCGTCGCGTTCAAATTTATTGCACATATATTGCGTGTCTGCTTGCACTAGTCAGGACTAATGCCCACTGAGCTAGCATGCCGCAGTTCAACACGGATACCCCTTTGAGACACAGTTAACTCCGAGCCGACCAGTCCTTGTTTTACCTCCTTAATGCCAAGTGCCAGGCACGGTAACAAGTACATTCGTTTAACGTCTTTTGGTATGACGCGGCCAGGCATCGAACCATCGACATGACGCCCCATCCACTGGACCACGGAGGCGGTCTGTCTTGAATACAAGATTTGTTTGTTTATTTGTTGTTTAACGCCTCAGCTATATGACGGCTGTCTGTGAATAATCGAGTCTTGACCACACAATCAAGTGATTGACATCATGAGCATCGATCCACGCCATTGGGATACGTTGACACGCATTAACCAAGTTAGCGAGTCTGACCCCCGATCCCGTTAGTCGCCTCTCATGACAAGCATAGTCACCTTTTACAGCAAGCATGGGTTGCTGAAAACTTATTCTACCCCGGATCTTCACGGGTGAGTGTATACAAGAAGAGCTCGTAGGAACACTATGTAATACTAGTATAGCACGTATATGAGTAAATCTTATCTAAAAATGTACTCAAATATCAGGTCTCCTAAAGCAGAATTTTGATACAATTCATAATCGTTAATACTCTTAAAATAATTTACATAATAGTTTTCCTTTTTTTCCTTTTGTATTCTTAATAGCACAACCAGTCAGAGAGTTTCAGTTCAATCACAACTTGTCATTTTTGTGTCTGTGTTTGAAAATATACACTCATTTTTTTCACAGTGAACGTAGGAAGCTCACAATAATGTGAATATGATATGCCGTTATGAGGCCTTCGTTTTTCGAGCTAAACAGGCCTGAGTTATCCCCCTTAGATTATGACGTAATTGGTGCCAATTCAACTGGGCCCCTGTCTATTCTCAACGCAGAAGATATCAAGTACCAGTTTGCGGTAAAACAACATGGCCTACCACACACTCCGGCGTAGTGGTGACTCAGCATAACACTATGCTGGCTGGCATCTGAGACGCTAGAATCACACACCTGGACCTACACCACGTGAAGCGGCTCTAACAAAGCATGATGACGTCATAATGTTTATCAATTGGCACCAATGACGTCATATTGCAAGGGGCATAAGCCATGGTGTTTTTGTTGTGGAAATAGAACACTTGGTAAATGTGAAAAATATAAATCGTTTTAATGCGAAAAATATGTTAATTAATTGTGATATTTTTATATTTTTGTCTATGACACTTCTAGGTTAACACTTTTAATGTGGAAAAAGTACAAGAAAAATAGGTTCATTTCCGTGTGAACTTGCCCTTTAAATGATTTCATATTAAACGACATGTTAATTGTCCACTGTAGGTTCAGGACGTGATATACAGGGCATGTATCATGTCAGTGCTAATTCATGCCAATGTAATACCCAGTGTCAAGTAACATTTATCAGGGATACATATCCTCGTGGAAATATGACATGGCAGAATGTTTTTAATATTATACTGCAGGTTTTGTAGTACAATTGATTTCTTCCTGTGTTGTAAATATGGACATGGGAAAATAGTGGTAACGATGGATGTTCGCATTTGAGTTTCATACAATAGAATACTGAGTGAGTGATTTAGTGAGTAGTGTTTTAATTAGTATTGCATTTATATCATCGCGAGGCGTTGACGTTTACCACACGTTTGATAACCCACGAACACGGGGATCCAGGATCATACCCGGGATAAACCTGTGATTCGGACAAACGAAACTTGGATCCTTGCATGCCAAGGGATGCAACTCTGCACACGGAATTACGAATACCTTGATCATTGAGTCATCAGTGACCACGGTAGCATTCTCACCATCCAATCAACACTTTTTCGCGTTTTAAGACAATCATATTTTATCATGGCATATTGTGTCACGTCCAAGTGTATGGGGACCTGTTGCCATGTCCAAGTGTATGGGGACCTGGAGTCACGTCCAAGTGTATGGGGACCTGGTGTCACACCAAGTGTATGGGGACCTGGAGTCACACCAAGTGTATGGCGACCTGGTGTCACGTACAAGTGTATGGGGACCTGGTGTCACGTACAAGTGTATGGGGACCTGGAGTCACGTCCAAGTGTATGGGGACCTGGAGTCACGTACAAGTGTATGGGGACCTGGTGTCACGTACAAGTGTATGGGGACCTGGTGTCACGTCCAAGTGTATGGGGACCTGGAGTCACACCAAGTGTATGGGGACCTGGTGTCATGTCCAAGTGTATGGGGACCTGGTGTCACGTACAAGTGTATGGGGACCTGGTGTCACGTCCAAGTGTATGGGGACCTGGAGTCACACCAAGTGTATGGGGACCTGGTGTCATGTCCAAGTGTATGGGGACCTGGTGTCACACCAAGTGTATGGGGACCTGGTGTCACGTACAAGTGTATGGGGACCTGGAGTCACACCAAGTGTATGGGGACCTGGTGTCACGTCCATGTGTATGGGGACCTGGAGTCACACCAAGTGTATGGGGACCTGGTGTCACGTCCATGTGTATGGGACCTGGTGTCACGTACAAGTGTATGGGGACCTGGAGTCACACCAAGTGTATGGGGACCTGGTGTCATGTCCAAGTGTATGGGGACCTGGACTCACGTCCAAGTGTATTGGGACCTGGAGTCAAGTCCAAGTGTATTGAGACCTGGAGTCAAGTCCAAGTGTATGGGGACCCGGAGTCAAGTCCAAGTGTATGGGGACCTGGAGTCACGTCCAAGTGTATGGGGACCTGGAGTCACACCAAGTGTATGGGGATCTGGAGTCACACCAAGTGTATGGGGACCTGGAGTCACGTCCAAGTGTATGGGGACCTGGAGTCACGTCCATGTGTATGGGGACCTGGAGTCACGTCCAAGTGTATGGGGACCTGATGCCATGTCCAAGTGTATGGGGACCTGGAGTCACGTCCAAGTGTATTGGGACCTGGAGTCAAGTCCAAGTGTATTGAGACCTGGAGTCACGTCCAAGTGTATGGGGACCTGGAGTCACGTCCATGTGTATGGGGACCTGGAGTCACGTCCATGTGTATGGGGACCTGATGCCATGTCCAAGTGTATGGGGACCTGGACTCACGTCCAAGTGTATTGGGACCTGGAGTCAAGTCCAAGTGTATTGAGACCTGGAGTCACGTACAAGTGTATGGGGAGCTGGAGTCAAGTCCAAGTGTATGGGGACCTGGTGTCACGTCCAAGTGTATGGGGACCTGCGTCACGTCCAAGTGTATTTGGACCTGGGGTCACGCCCAAGTGTATTGGGACCTGGAGTCACGTCCATGTGTATGGGGACCTGGAGTCACGTCCAAGTGTATGGGGACCTGGTGTCACGTCCAAGTGTATGGGGACCTGGAGTCAAGTCCAAGTGTATGGGGACCTGGAGTAAAGTCCAAGTGTATGGGGACCTGGAGTCAGGTCCATGTATCTGGGGACCTGGAGTCACTGCCAAGTATCTAGGGACCTGGAGTCACTGCCAAGTATCTAGGGACCTGGAGTCACGTCCAAGTGTATGGGGACCCGGAGTCAAGTCCAAGTGTATGGGGACCTGGAGTCAAGTCCAAGTGTATGGGGACCTGGAGTCAGGTCCATGTATCTGGGGACCTGGAGTCACTGCCAAGTATCTAGGGACCTGGAGTCACTGCCAAGTATCTAGGGACCTGGAGTCACGTCCAAGTGTATGGGGATCTGGTGTCACGTCCAAGTGTATGGGGACCTGGAGTCACGTCCAAGTGTATTGGGATCTGGAGTCACGTTCAAGTGTATTGGGACCTGGTGTCACGTACAAGTGTATTGGGACCTGGAGTCACGTCCAAGTGTATTGAGACCTGGAGTCACGTACAAGCATCTGGGTGTTACGTCCAAGTGTATGGGGACCTGGAGTCACGTCCATGTATCTAGGGACCTGGAGTCACGTCCAAGTGTATGGGGACCTGGAGTCATGTCCAAGTGTATGGGGACCTGGTGTCACGTCCAAGTGTATGGGGACCTGGAGTCACGTCCATGTGTATGGGGACCTGGAGTCCCGTCCAAGTGTATGGGGACCTGGAGTCACGTCCATGTGTATGGGGACCTGGAGTCCCGTCCAAGTGTATGGGGACCTGGAGTCACGTCCATGTGTATGGGGACCTGGAGTCACGTCCAAGTGTATGGGGACCTGGAGTCAGGTCCATGTATCTAGGGACCTGGAGTCACGTCCAAGTGTATGGGGACCTGGTGTCACGTCCAAGTGTATGGGGACCTGGTGTCACGTCCAAGTGTATGGGGATCTGCGTCACAATTATTGCAAGCATCTCTGGCCACAACTTAATTTCAACTCACTGCAGCCCCTATTCCACCCCTTGGAGTGGCCCCACTCAGCAAAGCAGCCACCCTCCTCTGAGTCTTCTTTATATCCCCCAGGTCGAGGGGGACCGGCGGTGCCCGGGGGTAGCGGGTCGTGGTCGGCATAAGGAACAACTGCAATAAACACACATAATTAATCTTTGACCTACCTTCTGGGGGAACTGATAGTTGATCATGTGAATCAGATCATCCACATTCATGATCCCCGGGGGGTCAGGCAGGAGGGACATTGTTGGCTGAGGGGGCAGTCTGTGTCGATGGTCTTTAATGTTCACCGATATCCTTTAATCGAAGTATAAATCCACGGGAATGAGTTTATTGGTTAGATTAATTGATAGCCCCTGCTGAACACGTCAAGGCCGAGTTGCCTTCGAGGTTGACACAAATCTGTCATCACGACAGGCTAAAGTCGGTTTGGTTGGAAATTTGATATTTGGATTAAGCCCAAAAGTTCCAGGCTTTTGTTTGGACCACAGAAATAGCAAGCCAAACTTATAAACCTCTTCATGATTCGTATTCCTTCATATTCCTTCCGGAATAATAAATATCCTAAAGCATCATCCAGCAACTGATCAAAGACATCAATGTGTTCACCACGTGAAGTCGAGCTAAAGTCGAATATAAGTCGCAGATTAGCATTCAAATCACAGGTCCACTGGAGTCAATATAACCAATACAAACTACACTAAACTCTTAATCCCAGTTCTTCAGACATTAATTCTTCCGGCCTCCTTTGAATCACGGCAGTTATTGACTGCAGGTCATGAAGTCTGATTCATACGACGCTATCAAGAAAATGTTACAATTTCCTGTTATTGAACGTTACGTATCGCCTATCACCAAATCTGTGTCTTGAGAGTCGCTGACAGCACATCACAGCCTGAATGGTAAGGATTAATGAATGAATTGCCAAGGTGGATATGTACAACCTAAGGGATGCTGTCGAAATTTCAGTGAAACGCTGACCGACGTACAACGCAATATTCGACGTCAGTGGCGTCCATTTACAGCAGCACTGCTTCGACACGTGTTCTTTCAGGACGCGTGGACACGATGTCTGCAAGCCATCCTATGAGCCACGGAAGGATCACATTGGAGGCAGTGTGACCTACAGGGTACAGGTGCTGAAGAATAACGCCAGCTTATATTGCAAAAGGCAGCGTGATATGAATCATTAATCCCAAATTCCGCATTGCAACCATACACGCAATTTATCAACTTGCATGTCGTGAGAATAATCTTATCTTATCACCCATGCCAAGTGCCCAGGAAGCTAATATGCAATCCCAAGCGAGGTTGTCGACGTGTTCAAATCGTTAAAGTTCATCCAGGGTTATAAACGATCCACGATTTACTATCTTGTCCAACGTTACCCCGTGACGACCAAGAACAAACGGTAAATCCACTTCAGCTTCTCACGGTAACTGACAATTGATTAACTCCAAACATCAACAAGTTATGACCGCAAGGTTGTTTAGTTGAGTGTAAGCTCCGATTTCAGTACCGTTACTGCAAGTCTTCACGGCATGATGCCTTGGAACAAACGCAAGCAGGTATTCAGAGACAGCGTTATTACAACGTAGCATTCTGTACTCGATCGCATGACGAACCCCCATAACAGAGGCATTAATCCAGCGTATTAATATAAAGCTGCAGTGAGCATTTCCTTAATGAAAGGCACAGGTATGTAGCAAGGGAAACAAAATCCACACAGTATATTTAGAAACCCGTTTTAACAGTATGATCCAATCTCCAGTTGTTTATTCAACAGCGGTGATATCAATGTTTGTATGGTAGCCCACGTTCATAGTAACAGTAATCCCCAGTGTCGAGGTCTTCTTAACAATGGGGTATGTAATTACCGACTTGGTCGACCATCCAGGTATGTCGAGACGAACACCGCGGACACCTGTATCATTGTCTGAGGTCGGTGATAGGGTATCAGTGACATTGGGGGTACGATAACGCATCAGAGCTCAGTGGAGTAGTGAATGATCTAATTGGCAACTCGTGTTGGGAATGAGAAACAGTTACTCAGCAAATTGCGATACTATATGCAGTTACACAGGGAACACGTGCACAAAGAAACCTTAGCTTTAAGTTTATGATAATATGTAAAAGTTACAATGACCTTGGCACTAAGATCGTTTTAAAAGGCCCGGCACATGACTGTCCGTGCGTGTAGTTGGTATAAATTACACACAACTTTACTATTGTAAGATGTGTAGGTGAATATGTTTATGGCGGTATTGGTGTTAACGTCCATTGGTGTTTTTTGAGTGTTGACGTTACTATTGATGGTTGTATCGGTGTTGACGTTACCATTGATGGCTGTATCGGTGTTTACGTTAGCGTTAATGGTTGTTTTGGTGTTGACGTTACCATTGGCGGTTGCATTGGTGTTGAAGTTACCATTTGTGGTTGTGTTGGTGTTGACGTTACCATTTGTGGTTGTATTGGTGTTGACGTTACCATTTGTGGTTGTGTTGGTGTTGACGTTACCATTGGTGGTTGTATTGGTGTTGACGTTACCATTGGTGGTTGTGTTGGTGTTGACGTTAGCATGATGGTTGCATCGGTGTTGTCGTAACCATTGGTGGTTGTATTGGTGTTGACGTTACCATTGGTGGTTGTATTGGTGTTTACGTTACCATTGGTGGTTGTATTAGTGTTGACTTTACCATTGGTAGTTGTATTGGTGTTGACGTTACCATTGGTAGTTGTATTGGTGTTGACGTTACCATTTGTGGTTGTATTGGTTTTGACGTTACCATTTGGTAGTTGTAATGGTGTTGACGTTACCATTGATGGTTGTATTGGTGTTGACGTTACCTTTGATGGTTGTATTAGTGTTGACTTTACCATTGGTAGTTGTATTGGTGTTGACGTTACCATTGGTAGTTGTATTGGTGTTGACGTTACCATTGGTGGTTGTATTGGTGTTGACGTTACCATTACTGGTTGTGCTGGTGCTGGTGCTGGTGCTGGTGCTGGTGCTGGTGCTGGATGTGGCCTCAATCGTTTGGTCCTTCCTTGTAGGTTGAATTTGGTAAGGATTAAATGATGAATTCGTGTTTGGATTGGTTCTACGATTTTGTGTTGATGATTTTGTGTATATTTTGACATTTGGGAAGCATACACTTGTTGATGAATACCGATTACAATTTGTAGCTGTTTTGTGCCTTGACATGTATCACGATGCACTTAACCATGTCATTCGTGAACATGCAATTTATAGCCTAGCATAACAGGAATGTTCATCCAAATGCCACGACACACGTCCTGCATTAAATGCATTAAGTCCTCAAGTCCCCAACTCTTTCATTAATGACTGTAGATCGACAAGGTTTATCCAACGGTGCTAATACTCAAACATGTCCTCTTCAAAATGTCACCGACGCATGTAGACCCTCACGGACCCCATTTAACCGTGTGCTGTCAATCTAGTCCCTGATATAATCTGTCTCCCTCCACACTAAGATAGTCACGGGATCCTTTAATCTGAATAATCTTATCACCACTGTCAACCCTTCAACTGTCAATATCTGGCCAAGGCCTCGTCCTTCATACAGTCCTATAAAACTCAGCCTGTTGTATCACGTACACATGAACTCCATAAAGGGCGTCCCCGCATGATACATAGTTTGGGGTTGGGGGTTGGGGGTTGGGGGTTGGAGGGGCGTGGAGGGGGGTCTGGATAGGTATTGATTTCGAGTACTTACAATATATACAATGTAATCTTGTCGGTTCAGTTTGACCTCGTTTTAGAAATATGTAGATGCTATCTATTGAAAATATTGATTGAAATCGATATTTCAGCAATCTCATTCATTCCAGATTATTGACATGTATTACTTTTCAATACTGCAATAACGTCTTAATAGTTCTGGTGCGTTATCTGTCTGTGAATAGTGAATATGTATTTGAGAAAAATTCCATTGTGCATTTCAGCCTCTCTTATTTCAGAATATGAGTCACAGGTGGACCAGTCATCTGAGACATTGCAATTCGCAGTGCGTATCACATGCTCGTCTTAATCCAATGGTCGCGGGTTTGAGTCTCAGATTCGCCTTGATATTGTCTCTAGTTAGGTCAACACCATACCGTGCTCTTGGATCTAAGACCTGTGTTACTTTCACTTTCCTCCAACATTAAGCTGTTACGATCCGACACAACTTAAATAGTGTTCATTCAAAACTTCGTAAAACCCAATTGACCAAATCACTTTAGAAGACTTAATTTTATTTGAAGCAATGACAGTATTTCTGTAAATAAGTTACGGGTGCTACTGGTGGGGCAGGATACACTCACCTTTTCGCAAACACCTGGTATCATCGTTATTTGATAGTGATTCATAAACACAGGCTTATGATACAGTCAGAATCGCACAGTGGACTCTACTTTTAGCGGAGAGTTCTTATGATTATGAAAAAGGTTTCCATATGCAAATCCGTCAAGATGACGTCTTTTTAACCATCAAAACGCATTTGAATAAAACTAAGCATAGTTTATTATAAATTGTCTGGCGCCAAGCAATATAATCAACTCCCGAAATACGAAGGTTACGTTATATATTACAAGTAAACACCAGGTGTCGTATGATCAGAACAGCAGCGACCGGGACGCGAACACTTCGCCCCACGGTCGCGGCTGAGGGGACATTTGTTTTGAACAGTACTGTACATTCTATAAGTCACAACACAGTGGTATGATTTCAACACGCCGGTGTTTAATAAAAAACCTTAAGTAACACTTCCAGCAAGTTGTACGTATTTTTGCACTACTCGTCAAAACAATCGCACCAACAATCGCGACCGCCACGCGTAATTTTCACGTCACGGTCGCGATGTGGTGGGCGTTTATTTTGAACAGTAGCGAATGTTATTTATCTTGGGTTTGGATTGTAATGGCTTATATCAACAAAATATCGACTTATTTTCATTCAAGGAGTTTTCAGTCTTTATTATATGGTATTGTTTCATGAATATGTTTCAAAGAAGTATATATTATACAGTCGAGCCCGTTATCTCGAACCTAGCGGGGCCGTGTTGTAACTTCAAGATATTCGGACATTCGAGATAACAAGACATGTACATCCAGACAGATCAAGCAAC